GGTGTAACTGTGTAGAGTAAGTTTGATTTAATATTTTATTCACCAGGCGATCAGCAGATGCAATCATAAATGGACACACGTTTTTTCCTTCCGTAGTTATTTTAACTTCAAATTCGCAACAAATGCCATCATAAGGATTCTGAACAAGAAGATCGATGTGGGAATCGGCAACGAGCGAATTTTCCATCAAATCCGGCTCAATGTTTTCATTTGCGCTCGTCTCGGGAAGCTGACAGAGTCTTCGTTTTTCAATTGATGTATAACTGGGGTTGAAAGACGGCTGTCTCCAGTTATTGAACTAAAAAATACTGGCGCAGGATGGAAAATGCCGTGAACAAACCCGGGAATATAGCTTGGCGTCCACTCAGGTTCCCGACGACGCATTCGAATTCACTGGCGTTGAAGTATTGATTTCTTGGACGAAAGAAATGTATGAAAAGTTACGCCTTTCATCTCAGGATATTTCGCTGTTTTTTTTTTTAATTTTGATTTTAATTTTGTTTTTAATCGAACCCCGGGAATGGCCTTGGGCATTACAATACCAGTTAACCATTTTGACCAATTCTTGCAAAAAATAAGACTTCGGCAACAGTAACTACTAGTATATTGCTTACAGCAGACGCCGCTTAAATTTCAACCCCACCACGAACGTTGAACGGACTGTCATCCGGGTACTTTGAGAACGCCCTCTATCGAATTTCGTGCGAAAAATAGTAACTCGGAAATTAGGAATTGAGTTGAGAGGATCTAGTGTTCTGGGCCTATCACAGCCTGATTTCCTTTCCAGCCATTATAATTTTTCAGTTTTCCGTAATTTTCATTAAATTAAATAATAATTTGTAACCAAGGAGACAGCAGCTTGTAGATTATCATCAATTTTTTTATTCAATTTCTTCATCTTTTCTGGCAAATAGATTATGAAAAATATTTCTTTTTTTGTTAACTGTGGTCATGAACAGGCTAAGAGATTAGCATACTGATTGTCACCCAAACACCAAAATCTCATCTCATCTGTGTTGACTCCAATTTTCATAGTTTTGATTTTGATTTCTTAATATTGTATTACTAGCTCGGTAGCGACAATGAGTCAGAAGATTCAATCGAAGAGTCCATTGAGGATGAAATTGAGACGGAAGATGATCTTGTCATTGATGCAGATAAATACGAAGAGAAACCCAAGCAAAAACAAGTTGAGAAACTTGACTTGGAGGAGAAGAACACATATAAGGAATATCAGACAATGGACAAAAGTGGATTTGTAAAACTGGTGAGTACAGCCCCCATAGGAAGTAAAATACTCTCAGTTCATTGGTCAGTTTAGCTTATTAGCCATGCAAATATATTCACATGTCACATACTATGGGCTGTCAAATTTGAACCATGGGAAGTAAAATACTCTCAGTTCATTGGTCAGTTTAGCTTATTAGCCATGCAAATATATTCACATGTCACATACTATGGGCTGTCCAATCTGAACCATGGGAAGTAAAATACAAAACCAAACCCATGTGATCTCTTGATTAACAATAATTACAATGACAGCATTTTCAGTCAGCCAATCATTCTTTGACATTTGAGATTATGACTTTTTTAATTCTTTTTTTGTTTAATTTTTAGTCAACAGCACAGCTTGCTGACCATCCTGACAAACGGACGTCTATTGTATTTGAAATACTGGGAAGTGAAGTTAACTATAAACGTAGTCTTACCATTGTTAAAGATGTCTATGTATTACCGCTGAAAGCTGCTCTAAAGTCGAACAAAGCCATCATCAGTACACCTAACTTACAAACAATCTTTACTGATATTATGAATGTATTGGGACTGACTAGGTAAGTGAGATCATTTGATTGGTCAAATGTATTTGTGATGTCATCATTGCTAATTTACATATCTCAATGTTATTTTTCCATCTTAGAAATTAGATTAGAAATTTTTCAATTTTGATTTCTGTGTTCAAACACAGTTAAATTATTAGCCATTTTGTTATGTCATAATTGACAGTATGTCTCCCTTTATCTCTCAAATTTCTAGTATTGAAAAACAATGTTTGTCCAATAGCGCCCTCAAACATTAGACTGAAGTAAATGTTCTCTTTTGTTTTTACCATCTAAATATTTTAGGATGTTTTTTTAAAGATTTAATTAATTAATAATAATTTAAGTAAAATTATGAGTGAAAATAATGGATGTGTATTTTGTGGTCTAGCGCCATCTATGGCAAACTTCAGAAAATGTATTTGATTTCAGCTGTTTATGACACTTCTGTTGCGGAGAGTACTCTGTCAATTTTTTTTATAAATTGATATATAACTTGCACATTGATTGTGTTATCCAGGGAAATTGTACATGATTTGACTGACCGACTGGAAGACTGGGGACCTCATCAATGTTTAGCTGATATCTTTGTCAAGTTTTCATCTAAGTTAAAAGTGTACACCAACTTTTTAAATAATTATGCTGTAACTTTATCCACGATTGACAAGGTCAGTAATGATTTTATCCTTTTTCATACTTTCCAAAATGTTGGTGCAACATTTTTTCTGTTTTTTGGTACTTTTCTATATTAGTTTTGATCATTTTGGACCAGTCGTCGTCGTCAGCCTCCGTCCATCTAGGAAGACGATGGGTTGCGCCATGATGTGGTTGAACTTGAGCAGCGTCTGTGGTGGCTGTAGAGCCCAATCCTTAAGTGACAGTCCCTGCAGATGAAAACTGAATTGTCGAGTGAGCTGGTAGATGCTTTACTCCTCAGTCGCTGTCTTTCGTGTCTGTCCTCTTTCACGCCCTGGATGCCTTTGCTGACTGCTTGTCTCCATGCTGAGCGGTCATCGGCTGTTATCTCCAATGACTGTGTGTCTATGTGAGTAGCCTTGAGGTCTCTTTTACAGACGTCAAAGAACCTCAGGCCCGACTGGATTTTGGACCAAATAGACATATTTTCCTCCTGGCTACAAGTCTTGATCAAAATTTGGGAAAAATTATGAAAAAATTATGTGAGTTAAAAATTTGTGAATGGTGAAGAAAGTTGACTTTGGCGCTCAAGCGGTTCTCAAAATGCAGGAACATTCTCACTCATAAAATTTACCTGAATCAGAAAATTCTTTAAAATTAAGCAATTCACAGTATTCTACGTCAGAGCTGTCTTTGATCCATAAATTTACCTTGATAGCTTCAAAAATTATTATCATATTCATACACTATTTCTTAGCCAACTAAGTTTTGTCGACAATACAATTTTAATACCACAACAATTCTACTGTATGTGATACACTTCACTGGTGACTGGTACACGAATTTGCAAAAAAGAAATTCCTTATCCCTGAACACATGCGACTTGTTATTGGTCTAAATACATACCCAAACATAAGGTCAGTGATTCATTTGAATTTGTGATTTACATGTACAAATGACATGTTATATTTTTATTCTTTACCCTCTTGGCTTGGTGTACATTTAATAATTCTGAATAAAAATAGCCTTTCAATTGTTATGGTACACCAAAATATTAACTCATTGTGACGGTTTTTGTACAACATCCACAGTTCTGCTCTTTAATATTTTAGTTTCAGTCGCTTTTCTTTAATCCAGTTCACAAAGAAAGACATTTCTTTTAATATAACAAAGAAAGAGCAAGAATTGATTTCTGTATGGATTGCGTAAAAGGGTTTGTCGGCATCGTATAGATTTCCAATCACCTCTTCTATAGATACTTGTGTCTTAAAATACATCTCATTTAAGATAAATAAAAGTACTGCATATTTAGCTTGGCTCTTGTTCATTTCATGGATTCAGACTATAAAGAAACATTATGGATTTCCTATGGCATCCTTTCTATTGCATTTCCATACTGAATTCTGACTGTGTACCCTGTATACTTATGAATTCTTCCTCACATGTACCCGTTATTGAGGTTATCAAATTAGCATACTAGCATTTTGAAGCTGTATTTTGTTGCCAAGTTCACATTGTATAAAATTGTGAAATACAACTTGAAGTTAAAATGCAAAGTTTTATTTTGAAGATTGTATAATTTCTGTTTCACCAAATGTAAAAAATGTAAACATGTTTTCATTCCCTAAATGACTGCAGGAAATCATTTTTCAATCAATCAAAATATCAAAATTATTGCTTATGCTTTGCTCTAAAAGAATTAATATTGAATTGATATTTTAAAGTGGAAAGGATTATCTGATTACTTCCTTTTTATCTCGGAAAAAGATGTGCCGAAATGAGGGCTTCGCTCGTGAAAGTATGGCCGCAGGATACACCGCATCACTTGTGAAA